GCGGTTTTATGTGTTAAATAGCATGGGGGACACAACAAACCCTGAGAGATGGCCACAGGGATTGAACAGGATAAAATAATAGAATCACAGAGTTATAAGAGACCACAAGGCCCATCCAATCCAACCTCCTGCTGAGTGCCCCCGGCACCACGGTACAGGTTCGCCCCTCCAGGAAGAAAGGGAACCATTTTAAAATCATGCCTCCAAGTCAGAATCCAGCAAGGCAGCCCAGAAAGATACCGTGGCCAGTGATATTGAGAGCCTCTGAGAGGTTCAGCAGAACCAACAGGGACGCTCTCCTCCATGTAGTTCCCTGCATAGCGACCAAAGCTGTTTCTGTCCCACAACCAGGCCGGAAGCCAGATTGAAATGGATCTAGATAATCCATCTCATCCAGAAATCCCCAGAGCTGGGAGGTCACTGCACACACCCAATAGCTAAGATTTGAGAACTGATGACAAAAAAGAAAAGGGTACAGACAAGAAATAAAAGCAAGAATATTAAACTCCACTTCACTGCTTTTAAATTTCAAGCCTAACAAAAATTACTAAATTTGAGGATACTAATATTAAAATATAAATATTGGAGGAAAAAAAAGAATTTGTGACATCTACTATAGAAATGATATTCACATAGTACTGTACTGGACGTTATGGCCTAAATACCCTAAAAGCACCAGATCCCCTCTGATTTTGGAAGCTAAGCATGTCAGCTCTGTTTAGTATTTTGATGAAAGCCAATGTATACCAGGTCTTGTGTGGACTATGGGCCTTTGCAGACTGCTAGAAATAGTGCAAGTTGAGTCCATTTTAACTGCCGTGGCTCAATGCTAGGGAATCATGGGAACTGTATTTTTTCTGAGACATTGAGCCTTCTCTGTCAAGAGAGCTCTGGTGCCACAATAAACTACAGTTCCCATGATTCCCTAGCACTAAGTCAAGGCAATTAAAGTGGACTCAATTTGCATTATTTCTGGCAGTCTGCAAAGGCCCTTTATTTCAGAGGAAGGAACTGGCAAACTCACCTCCTTGCCAAAGAAAATCCTATGAAACTCATAGTTGCCACAAGGCAATAGGCGACTTGAGGGCACATACACACTGGACTGAGAGGCTGGTTATCCTGATTCAGAATTAGCAACTGATTACCATGCCTAGGAGTAGAAAGAACTATTTTTATAACAGCAAGTGTGGGAAGTAGCAAAGCAAAGCAGCTTCATTTATATACTGCTTCATATCGTGCTATGGGATGTCTAAGCGGTTTACAACTGTAAGCTCATTGCCTCCCAAAAGCTGGGTACTCATTTTAGCAACCTCAGAAGGATGCAGGCCTGAGTCAAGCCTGAGCCCTGGTGAGTAATGAACTCGCAACCATGTGGACTATGAGTGAGTGGCTGCAGTACAGGCATTTAACCACTGCGCCACCAGGGCTCCTATCCATGTGGTCCTCCAGATGTTTTGGACTGTTTTTGTTGTTATTGTGTGCCTTCAAGTCATTTCTGACTTCTGATGACACTATCATGGGGTTTTCTTTGCAAGTTTCTTCAGAGGAGGGTTGCCATTGACACCCTCTGAAGCTGAAAGTGTGTGACTTGCCCAATGTCAACCAGTGGGTTTCATGGCCAACCCAGGATTCAAACCCTGGTCTGCAGAGTCTTACTAAAATGGTCAAACCATTACACCATGCTGGCTCTTGTATCTCCCAGCATTTTTCACTATGCTAAGACTGCTGGAACCCGCTGGCCAGCAACATTTGGGGGGGCCACATGATTCCTTCTTCTCTTTTACGATATAAACAGTTGCTAAAAATGGTTGCTTATAGCAGACAAATCCTGTCCCCAATCTTCCTGCTGTCGAAACTATAACAGTAACTATCCCAAGTGGAAATAACTGAACTGCTCTTTATAATATCCACTATTGTGTTTCTGTCTCAAATACATTTGTATTCAAAGGGAAAAGGGAAAGAGAAAGATGTTGGTCCCATAAAAGGATGCTTCTAGGTGCTCTAGATATTTGGTACCCATGTAACAACTGCCAAATCTTTTGTTGTCTCCTGAGTCATAAGTCCACATTCAAACCACTGTTGTTGTGTGCCCTCAGTACATTTCCAACTTATGGCAACCCTAAGGCCATAAGTTGGAAATGACCTGAGGTGTTTTTTTTTGTTTTGTTTTTGCAAATTTCATCGAAGGTTTTCTTGGCAGGTTTCATCAGAGGGGGTTTGCCATTGCCATCCTCTAAGGCTGAGAGAGTGAGACTTACACAAGGTCACCCAGTGGGTTTCTATGGCCACACTGCCATGCTGATTAAGAATCAGGAAATCCAGCCTGAAAATGTTTACTTAGCCTAGCCCTTTCCCATCCCTATGGCACTGACTTGCTACCTGGGAGGGGGGGAGTAGCAACTTTCCACAGGACTTTGTTTATTGAAATGGGGACAAATTCCAGTCAGACACTCAGAATCAAAGCACAACACATCTGATTTGGACTCAATCACCTCTGGAACACAGAGCAAGAAAGACAGAAGCAGCTGCTTTCCATCTTGAGGTCCAGACCTCACTTTTGTTGCAAGGATGGACTTTACAGGGGTCAACTGTAGCCTTGTTTTTATGTTTTACAAATCCTGATTCATCAGTTGACTAGCTATGGCCCTCCAAGAGACTGTTGGGCAACAGCACCTCCTCAATGACTGATGGCTGGGGCTGATGGGAGTCACAGTCAAGCAACCCATGAACATGCAGCTGTGTGGCAACAGAAGAATGCAACCTGACTGCAAGTGCAGCAAATGAAAATGAGGGAAAGATCTTAAATATTCTGGAACCTCTCTCTCTCATGTTCAGATACAAATGGGCAAGGGCAGGCGCTTTTGTAAGAATGGTCTGCTGCTCTCTTTCTCTCTCTCCCATTTCCAGAAAGCTGCATGAACAGCAGCCAACATCCTCTCCACAGATGTCTGCTTCAGACCTCCAACAATCACCCAGTTGCATAAAAAAAAAAGAGGGAGGGAGGGAGGGAAGACACACACACACACACACAAAAGTGAGTCACTTCCCATTTCCAGCAGGGAAGGGAGGCCTTCCTTTGACCAATAAGGACTATTTAAAGAAAGCCCGAGTTCCTAATCTGACAAGGTCCTCAGTTCCAAAACACACTGCAGAAATCATCCAGTTTGAGACCGCTTCAACAGCCTTGGCTCCATGCTAG